AGAATTGTTACTAGAGGGACACAGAATTGTTACTGAGGGACACAGAATTGTTACAGACACAGAATTGTTACTGAGGAGGACACAGAATTGTTACTCAGGGACACAGAATTGTTTACTCAGGGACAGACACAGAATTGTTACTCAGGGACACAGAATTGTTACTCAGGGACACAGAATTGTTACTCAGGGAGACACAGAATGTTACTCGAGGGACACAGAATTGTTACTAGAGGGACACAGAATTGTTACACAGAATTGTTACTAGAGGGACACAGAATTGTTACTCAGGACACAGAATTGTTACTCAGTGGACAGACACAGAATTGTTACTCAGGGACACAGAATTGTTTACTTCAGGGACACAGAATTGTTACTCGAGGGACACTTGTTACTGAGGGCCACAGAACTGTCACAGGGGGACAGAATTGTTACTCAGGGACACAGAATTGTTACTCAGGGACACACAGAATTGTTACTCAGGACACAGAATCGTTTAATTAAAGAGTATGTCAGACAACATGCAGAGGAGTGGCAGAGGAGGCAATGTTTTAGGAGCGAGCAGACGTGGCAGCAGAGGAAGGGGTCGAGGCAGCACTATTCGCAGCCAGAGGCCAGTGCTCCCGGTGTCATCCAGTACAGTGAGGAAGAGCTAACAGAGGGCGGTCAGGAACGGGGGGAGACATCCGCCTCTTCAGCAGCCAGGCGAAGAAGTAGTGGCGAGGAGAGTGGCTCGGTAGCCGGTCTAGAGACAGGTCTGTCTCCTGACCCACACGCAGCCGAGGGGGCTAGTAGTGAGGCGGAGACCCTAATTGATGATGATGAGGCTGATCGCACTTGGCAGCCTCGTCGTCATCAGGCTATTGCTTCCGCATCATCAGGAGAAGAGGGTGGCAGCTTGGCAGCGAGCAAAACAGTCGGTGGGTTGTCTCCATCGCCACACTCTGCCATGTGCCACTTTCAGGTCTCCTCACACACTGCTGGTGTGTTCCATTTTTTGTCATAGGGTGCTGGCAGATTACGGGCCTCCCATAGCTGCTGCCAGGCCCCTAATCTGCCATGGGCCCCTATACCGCCTCCTCATGCTGCTGCAAGGTCCACAGTGTCTCATGCCATGGGTCCCTGTACGGCCTCCCATTGCTGCTGTCTCCATCGCCACACTCTGCCATGTGCCACTTTCAGGTCTCCTCACACTGCTGGTGTGTTCCATTTTTTGTCATAGGGTGCTGGCAGATTACGGGCCTCCCATAGCTGCTGCCAGGCCCCTAATCTGCCATGGGCCCCTATATACCGCCTCCTCATGCTGCTGCCAGGTCCAGAGTCTCTCATGGGTCCCTGCCAGGCCTCCCATTGCTGCTGTCTCCATCGCCACACTCTGCCATGTGCCACTTTCAGGTCCTCACACACTGCTGGTGTGTTCCATTTTTTGTCATAGGGTGCTGGCAGATTACGGGCCTCCCATAGCTGCTGCCAGGCCCCTAATCTGCCATGGGCCCCTATACCGCCTCCTCATGCTGCTGCCAGGTCCATGCTGGTGCGGCAGGTCCACAGCTGTCTCATGCCATGTCTGCCTGTGCCACTTTCAGGTCTCCTCACACTGCTGGTGTGTTCCATTTTTTGACATAGGGTGCTGGCAGATTACGGGCCTCCCATAGCTGCTGCCAGGCCCCTAATCTGCCATGGGCCCCTATACCGCCTCCTCATGCTGCTGCCAAGGTCCAGAGTCTCTCATGGGTCCCTGTACGGCCTCCCATTGCTGCTGTCTCCATCGCCACACTCTGCCATGTGCCACTTTCAGGTCTCCTCACACACTGCTGGTGTGTTCAATTTTTTGACATAGGGTGCTGGCAGATTACGGGCCTCCCATAGCTGCTGCCAGGCCCCTAATCTGCCATGGGCCCCTATACCGCCTCCTCATGCTGCTGCCAAGTCCAGAGTCTCTCATGGGTCCCTGTACGGCCTCCCATTGCTGCTGTCTCCATCGCCACACTCTGCCATGTGCCACTTTCAGGTCTCCTCACACACTGCTGGTGTGTTCAATTTTTTGACATAGGGTGCTGGCAGATTACGGGCCTCCCATAGCTGCTGCCAGGCCCCTAATCTGCCATGGGCCCCTATACCGCCTCCTCATGCTGCTGCCAGGTCCCAGAGTCTCTCATGGGTCCCTGTACGGCCTCCCATTGCTGCTGTCTCCATGCCACACTCTGCCATGTGCCACTTTCAGGTCTCCTCACACACTGCTGGTGTGTTGAATTTTTTGTCATAGGGTGCTGGCAGATTACGGGCCTCCCATAGCTGCTGCCAGGCCCCTAATCTGCCATGGGCCCCTGTACCGCCTCCTCATGCTGCTGCCAGGTCCAGGCGAACGTAGTCACTCAGGGGAGGAACTTCTCAGTGTAATGAACAGAGAAATCGACAGATGGCTGCTCCGCGCAAACTGAAAATCGGAACCATGTTGACCGACAACGGAAAGAACATGTGTCTGCTCTGCGTCAAGGAAGGTTGTGCCATGCGCCATGCATGGCTCACGTGTTCAATCTGGTTGTCAAGCGGTTCCTAAAATCCACCAGGCCCCTAATCTGCAAGACATCCTTAAAATGTCACGTAAACTTTGCATGCATTTCCAGCCATTCCTACATGGGTCCCGCAAAGCACACCCTCCTTGAGCTGCAGCGGCAGAACGGAATTCCACAGCATCGCCTGATCTGCGACGTTGCAACAAGGTGGAATTCAACCCTACACATGGTAGACCGCCTTTACGAACAGCGAAAGGCCATCACCGATTTCCTGATGTTTACAAGCGGATAAAGGTACTCCCCCTGTGTAACTTCGATGTCAGCCATTGGCAGCTCATGCGTGACACCTGCCGCTTGCTCAGGCCCTTTGAGGAGGCCACGCTATTCGTGAGTCGGCAGGACTATGGGATGAACGACGTCATTCCTCTGTTGCACGTCCTGGAACAAATGCTGTTAACAATGGCTGGTCAGGGTGCGGTAGACGTGGCGCACAGATCTCATGGGCCACATGACCCCTGTGGGGGCAGGACAGGAAGAAGAGGAGGAGGTAGAGGAGGACATTTGTGCTCAGGAATTATTGAGTGAAATGGGTGTTTTTTCCACTCAGCGGACAGGAGTGGAGGAGCAGGAGCATCTGGTAGAGGAGGAGGAGGAGGAGACAGAGGACCCAGATGCACGTGGCAGTATGTAGGCAGTATGCTGTGAGATGGAGGCAGGGAGTCCCTCGCATTCCTTGGCACAAATGGCCCATAGCATGCTCGGTTGCTTGCGTAGCGACAGCCGAATAATAACCATCAGACAGAGGGATGACTTTTGGCTGTCCACCTTGTTGGACCCTCGCTACCGTTCAAAAATGGTGGCCTTTTTCACACCTGCTGAGAGGGAGGCCAAAATAACGTACTATAAAAACCACCTATGTAGTCAGTTGGTCTCTGCCTTTGTGCGCCAATCGTCCATCCTCAGACACTGTGGGCCCTGTGCGCTCGTTCCGCTGCCATGGCAGCAGGGGAGGGGTGGGGTGGTAGGAGCAGTGGCAGCTCCACAGCAGCAGCGGCTGCCTCAGTCTGCAGTCGATGATGAGTAGCTTTCTTCACCAGCGCAGTGAGGAAACTACTAACCAGCCCGCAGCAGCAGCAGCATCAGGTGGACCTGGAGCAGGACCTCAAACAACAGGCTTGGGCCTACTTGGACAGCACCCTGCCAACCGAGGTAGACAATCCCCTTGACTACTGGGCAACGAAACTTGACCTTTGGCCCCAACTAGCTGAATTTGCCCTTGAAAGGCTGTCATGCCCCGGCCAGTAGCGTGGCATCGGAGCGCGTGTGTTTAGTGCGGCAGGAGGTATTGTAACTCCCGGAGGACACGACTGTCCACCCAAAGTGTGGAGAGACTCACGTTTGTGAAAATGAATCAGCTGCGTGGATTAGTCTGGATTTCAAACCACCAGTTCCTGACACAACTGACTAAATCCGCCATGAATCATGCCCCAAACATGTGCCACTTTCAGCATCTCCTCACACTGTATGGTGTTCAATTTTAAGCTGCTTACATAGGGTGCTGGCAGATTACGGGCCTCCCTGCTGCTCATGCTGCTGCCAGGTCCCCAGAGTCTCTCATGCTGGGTCCCCCTCTCTACATGGGGGCCTCCCATTGCTGCTGTCTCCATCGCCACACTCTGCCATGTGCCACTTTCAGGTCTCCTCACACTGCTGGTGTGTTCCATTTTTTGTCATAGGGTGCTGGCAGATTACGGGCCTCCCATAGCTGCTGCCAGGCCCCTAATCTGCCATGGGCCCCTATACCGCCTCCTCATGCTGCTGCCAGGTCCAGAGTCTCTCATGGGTCCCTGTACGGCCTCCCATTGCTGCTGTCTCCATCGCCACACTCTGCCATGTGCCACTTTCAGGTCTCCTCACACTGCTGGTGTGTTTCAATTTTTTGACATAGGGTGCTGGCAGATTACGGGCCTCCCATAGCTGCTGCCAGGCCCCTAATCTGCCATGGGCCCCTGTACCGCCTCCTCATGCTGCTGCCAGCTCCAGAGTCTCTCATGGGTCCCTGTACGGCCTCTCATTGCTGCTGTCTCCATCGCCACACTCTGCCATGTGCCACTTTCAGGTCTCCTCACACACTGCTGTGTGTGTTCCATTTTTTGTCATAGGGTGCTGGCAGATTACGGGCCTCCCATAGCTGCTGCCAGGCCCCTAATCTGCCATGGGCCCCTATACCGCCTCCTCCTCATGCTGCTGCCAGGTCCAGAGTCTCTCATGGGTCCCTGTACGGCCTCCCATTGCTGCTGTCTCCATCGCCACACTCTGCCATGTGCCACTTTCAGGTCTCCTCACACTGCTGGTGTGTTCCATTTTTTGTCATAGGGTGCTGGCAGATTACGGGCCTCCCATAGCTGCTGCCAGCCCCTAATCTGCCATGGGCCCCTATACCGCCTCCTCTGCATGCTGCTGCCAGGTCCAGAGTCTCTCATGGGTCCCTGTACGGCCTCCCATTGCTGCTGTCTCCATCGCCACACTCTGCCATGTGCCACTTTCAGGTCTCCTCACACTGCTGGTGTGTTCCATTTTTTTGTCATAGGGTGCTGGCAGATTACGGGCCTCCCATAGCTGCTGCCAGGCCCCTAATCTGCCATGGGCCCCTGTACCGCCTCCTCATGCTGCTGCCAGGTCCACAGTGTCTCATGGGCCATGTGCCACTTTTCACGGCCTCCCACACTGCTGTCTGTCGCCACACATTTTTTGTCATACTTTCAGGTCTCCTCACTGGCAGATTACGTTCCATTTTTTCATAGGGTGCTGGCAGATTACGGGCCTGCTGCCAGGCCAGGCCCCTAATCTGCCATGGGCCCCTATACCGCCTCCTCATGCTGCTGCTGCCAAGTCCAGAGTCTCTCATGGGTCCCTGTACGGCCTCCCATTGCTGCTGTCTCCATCGCCACACTCTGCCATGTGCCACTTTCAGGTCTCCTCACACTGCTGGTGTGTTCCATTTTTTGTCATAGGGTGCTGGCAGATTACGGGCCTCCCATAGCTGCTGCCAGGCCCCTAATCTGCCATGGGCCCCTGTACCGCCTCCTCATGCTGCTGCCAAGTCCAGAGTCTCTCATGGGTCCCTGTACGGCCTCCCATTGCTGCTGTCTCCATCGCCACACTCTGCCATGTGCCACTTTCAGGTCTCCTCACACTGCTGGTGTGTTCCATTTTTTGTCATAGGGTGCTGGCAGATTACGGGCCTCCCATAGCTGCTGCCAGGCCCCTAATCTGCCATGGGCCCCTATACCGCCTCCTCATGCTGCTGCCAAGTCCAGAGTCTCTCATGGGTCCCTGTACGGCCTCCCATTGCTGCTGTCTCCATCGCCACACTCTGCCATGTGCCACTTTCAGGTCTCCTCACACTGCTGGTGTGTTCAATTTTTTGACATAGGGTGCTGGCAGATTACGGGCCTCCCATAGCTGCTGCCAGGCCCCTAATCTGCCATGGGCCCCTATACCCGCCTCCTCATGCTGCTGCCAAGTCCAGAGTCTCTCATGGGTCCCTGTACGGCCTCCCATTGCTGCTGTCTCCATCGCCACTCTCTGCCATGTGCCACTTTCAGGTCTCCTCACACTGCTGGTGTGTTCCATTTTTTGTCATAGGGTGCTGGCAGATTACGGGCCTCCCATAGCTGCTGCCAGGCCCCTAATCTGCCATGGGCCCCTATATACCGCCTCCTCATGCTGCTGCCAGGTCCAGAGTCTCTCATGGGTCCCTGTACGGCCTCCCATTGCTGCTGTCTCCATCGCCACACTCTGCCATGTGCCACTTTCAGGTCTCCTCACACTGCTGGTGTGTTCCATTTTTTGTCATAGGGTGCTGGCAGATTACGGGCCTCCCATAGCTGCTGCCAGGCCCCTAATCTGCCATGGGCCCCTATACCGCCTCCTCATGCTGCTGCCAGGTCCAGAGTCTCTCATGGGTCCCTGTACGGCCGGCCTCCCATTGCTGCTGTCTCCATCGCCACACTCTGCCATGTGCCACTTTCAGATCTCCT